ATCAAAGGCAGAAATCTTACAGGAAGTGCCATTCTAACTATACCTTGAGCATATAGGTCAGATTTCAAAGGTGGCGATGGAAGTGGGGATGGGACCATTGCTGTCCAGGTGCATCTCAAGAATTGATCCTCTCGGTGTAGGAAATAGGGGACAATAGGCGACATGATGGCAAGCTTTGCACTGCCTCTAGCACTACAGAGTCCCTACCTGCCTCTGTCCCACTCCCAGTACCACAAGTTAAACCTTCTTTCACCTTCCCTCAAGCCAACATTGTTTTTTCTGTCAGCACAGATTGAAACAAGCTGTTTTTCTGCGCAGTGAGTCTCAGCATTGTGAATTACGTACATTCTTGGTGACAGAGGAAGACACGCTGGTGTTTTTAATTCTCTTCCGTGCTTTGTAGTTTGGTAGCTGCTACCCACATGCAGCTATTTAAATTGAAATTACTTTAAATTAATAAAACTCAGAGAGTAATTCCTCACCAAGTTTGAGATTCTCCATGGGTAGTTGTAGCGAATGGCCACATATGGGGTGTGTGTGTGTGTGTGTGTGTGTGTGTGTGTGTGTGTGTGTGATATATATATATATATGAGAGTGCAGGTGGAGAGCATTTTCATCATTACAGAGAGTTCTCTTGGGTAGCATTGTTCTACTTAATATTTTAATATGCTCATGTGATAACTATCACTTAAAATCAGTTCTTCTCCTGCTGGTTTGCTCTTTTACAATATGTTGATACTGAACACTGTTTTACCAAGATATGAAATATGTTATATCTTACTCTCTCCCCACCTAGAAAACAAATTATCCAAGCAATTAAATTCTCAGTGACAACCAGTGATGGAAACTTCTGAGGTTAATGAAAAGTTACCCTTAGAATCAAAATGACTCTTCCTACGTCTTCGGTGCTTAAGCCTATTATCTAAAATACATAAAAGACAAATGATAACTCTAAAGATTATGCTGGTTTCTAAAAAATCCAAAGCAAATAAAATAGGTTCTTTTCAAATATGAGTTCTACTTGATATGTTGTGAATATTGTTAATTATTTCAGCAACTTTTTGGACCAAGAAAAGAAAAGAAAAGGTTTGACTGAGGGTTCTGTTAGGCAAAGCAGGAGAGAAAACGAAAGAGGAAGATGGTCTTCTGGGGCTAAGGAGCGGCCGCAGCCAGGGGACCCTCTGAATGGCCACAGTGGCTCACACTTTAATAGGGTCCTGAACTCACTGCACTTCTTTTTTTAACTTCTCTGCGAGGGGCAGGGGGTTGGTGGTGGTGGAGCGGGGAGAACTACTGAATGAAATGAGCATACTTTATTTGTACAGTCGTTACATGAGTAGACTTAACCTTCTGACACATGACAAAATAACGATGTAAGTTCGTTAATGTTTCGGGTCGGAGGGAACTTGGCCCCAGGCAAGTCTCCAGGAGATTTTGGTAAATCTGGGTTTATAAACTTGAGCAGTTTTACTTTCTACAAATCAAGCCCTGCGAGTGGATTGAATCCTTCCTCTGATTCCAATTTTTTTTTTTTTTTTTTCTGAGAAGTACAATTTCACAAGATGCAGCATTCCAGGAAGCCTTCTGCAGTCAGCAGAAGGTGGGGATGTGCTGTGCCTTGTCGTTCCTTTCTTACAGAGTCATACAGCCCTGTGAAGGGCTGTGGACCGGGCACTTGTTTAACGTGGCTGCACTTAGCACCGTCTAGTTGGTTTGACCAGAGAATCCCCAATATTTTGGATTGTCATCTTTGATTAGTTTGCAAACCACTGTCATTGTCTGTAAAGTATACTTAAAGTATACCTGATGAGGCTACGAATAGAACTACCGAAATCACCAAATCACTTAAAAAGCTAAATGGTTTTATATGAAAAACATCCATAGTTTCAGGATGTTGAAAAATTTAGGGGTGAAGTAACATGATGTCTGAAACTTCATCACAGATCCTTCAAGCACATAGTTTATATATGTAGTATATGTGTATACAGCTACACACACACACACACACACACACTGTCACACACATACACTAACACATGCACGCAGGGCACCCAAACATAGCTAAATGTCTGAATTACAATGAAGGATGTGATTTGTACAATTTATGAAAAAGTTCTCTATGTTTCAAAACTTGCCGTAGAAATAGAGGAAACTCATATGAACACAAACGGAGCTACTTTAGTTATTGGGATAATCAAGAAGCTGCCATACAGAAGAGTTGACTAAGAGAGAATAAGGACTTTAAGACCCAGGAAGAAGTGAACAGGGAAGATTCCTGCTCTTGACTAGGGACAGCTACGTACCTCAAGAAAGGTGTTTCAGGTCATTTTGGAATTGCCTTGCCATTCCTCCAAGAGTTATGACTCTACCGGTGTGGTGGCTCAAGCCTGTAATCCCAGCACTTTGGGAGGCCGAGGCGGGTGGATCACGAGGTCAGGAGATAGAGACCATCCTGGTCAACAAGGTGAAACCCCTAAAAATACAAAAAATTAGCTGGGCATGGTGGTGTGTACCTGTAATCCCAGCTACTCAGGAGGCTGAGGCAGGAGAATTGCCTGAACCCAGGAGGCGGAGGTTGCGGTGAGCCGAGATCGCGCCATAGCACTCCAGCCTGGGTAACAAGAGCGAAACTCTGTCTCAAAAAAAAAAAAAAAAGGAAAAAAAAAAGAGTTATGACTCCATATTGAAGAGTTTCTACCTCAGGCCCTTCATCCAGGCCGATGGGAACATTGCCCAGGTGATCCTCGGGGTGTTATTTGTTTTCATGGCTGTCCAGGTCACAGCATGGCACAGAAAACCTTGCCAACTTTAAATTGTGTTATGTAGCCAAATAAATAGGGACGCCATTCTGAAGAAGGGCTCTCAAGATTTACCCGATGCCCCAGCTGCTTGACCAAGTGGAGCCAACAGCTTGAAAAGTGCTGCAGCCAGGCCTGGCCTGACCTTGATCTTCCTTAGACTGGCTATTAATCCCCAACTTGCCGGCTCTGGAAAGCAATGTGTGTAATAGATTGCATGTCATCTTGTATGCTTCTAGGGCACAGACATTGGCATGCAGTATTTTCTGAATAACTTCTGAAGGACTTTAGCGAAGGTTGTAGTATTCTGAGGTGGAAGGGTTCCTTAGTCTTCAGATTCTGCCTTGATATATCATTAGCTGAAACAATATTGCAAACATCGCTATTGCCCTAGGGAGAGAGAAGTCATTTAGTTTCCTGCAATTTCCGAGATGCTTCTTTTTAATATTGTAAAATCTTGCTAATAGTGCTAGTGTCTTTGCAACCTTGTCTTCCCTTGGAAACTTGTGCTTTTCCTGTTCCTTTTCTTCCTCCTTTTTTTTTTTTTATTGTTTGACCTTTACAGTAGCTTATAAAAATTGTGAAATTGGATTTGTTCATATTGCTGATAAAGGTTTTAACAGTAAAACTTCCTACCTCCTTCACCAAGCGCTTCTTAGTGCACATTAAAATTATCACAGTTCTTGTGATCTTTTGATACTCTGCATGTTGCAAATATTTGTTACAAATATTTCTATTATCATTTAGTTATGTATTACAAATATTTCAGTTATGTTACAGATATTTCTATAACGTTAATATATGATTCTGTGCTTTACTTATATTACACATGAAATATTTTATGTGATTATTATGTTTGCTAATAACAATGTGACATTATGTACTTGAACATCTTCTACATTAAAGCATTAAAGTTACCCAAAGGTGTTAGAAAATAGTACTTTCACATGAATGCAAACACGTGTTTACATTTTATCTTCCATTTCCCACTGGAAACTAAATATTAATCCTTATAGAGTAATAATTATAAAATATTTTGCAAAGAAATTATCAAACAAACTTTACATCTTTGTTGTACTTCAAATTTTGCAAAGTATTGTCACCTACAATATTAGCAAAGGTGGCTAAACAAATGATAATCTAGTATGTCTGCGAAAGTTCTTTTTGTAAATTAGTGAAACAGAGCTGCAAAGGACTGTAGGATCTCTCATTTTTTCCCTTATTTTTGTTCTAGTTGTTTTGAATAGACCATACGCATTTGGGAGGCTGAGAATTTTCATTCCAAATGTTAAAAATATATTTAACTATTATTTCTAGATGCCTCTGATGATCATAATAAAATTTGAAAGAAATTTTTATGTCATGATCTGTTATATTATCCTACCCAGGTAAGGATTAAAGGAAGGAACTATTTAGTAATTTTCAAAACTTGGAAATTCAGGAAGGAGGTTGTATTACTGATAAGTGCTTCTTAATAAAGTTAATCCGTAACAGATGTGGGAGTAAAGATGATTAAATTTCCCTAATTTACTGAGTAACTATCACTATATGGTCTCTTGAAAATGTATTGTTTGAATGGTGTTTGCCTAGTGAGAGAGATCATAAATGAAATGCAAAGCCTCCATTTCTGTGCATAGCTGCTTGGTCTGTGAAAGCTCCTCAGGACTGGCTTCTTCTCTTATTTTATGTGTGACTGTGAGTTGGAAAGTTTTCCCTAGAAACCCAGCAAACTGAGATCATATCATTCATATCATTAGAAATGGGCTCGTTTTCTTCTACAGATAAGATTTTGAGATGGAAAATCTACAGTCTTCAAAACTGTGTCCAAAAGCATGAAATAGAATTCAAGAGCATCCTGGAAGCATTCCTGTCATCTTTTAAAACTTCCACGGCAGAGAGTGCCTTTGATTTTACTGTGTTGTAAATACACTTGGCCGGTTCTCTTGGCAGTAGGCTGCTTACTTTGCTGAGTAAGTCACAGGCCTGTTGGCAAGAGAAAGGAAAGATTTCATTCTTGGAGCGTAAAGTTAGACTTTCTAAATTAAATTGTTGTATTCTCATTGGAATATTTATTCCAGTAATGTTTCAAAATGTTCCTGAGGACTGAGATTTAAAATTTGCCTCTCACAAGCTTTAAAAGAATTTCTCGTCTCAATTTGGATTCAGCATTATTAGCCACTTCCTCTGCTTTTTCTTCCCCAGCAGGTAGACGAGTCTACAACAGCTTTTATGTTTATTGCAAAGGCCCCTGTCAAAGAGTGCAGCCGGGAAAACTCAGGGTACAGTGCAGCACCTGCAGACAGGCAACGCTCACCTTGACCCAGGTAAGGAAATACAGTGTCAGCACGAGACTGCCTGGAAAATGAATGTGTACTGGCATATTGCCTTTCAGTTTTTTTAATCATATATCACCAGTCGTTGAAAAGAAAAGACATTCTTCTCTGTGGCTGTAATAGCTAGTGATACCCGAAGTTTCATTTACGCACCTTTATCTTCTGGATTTCTTTCTGCTCTGTGAAAGTTTGGATTGCACAGGGTCGTTTCCCCATTGCTTTATCCAGGCCTATGAAAGGAAGCGTGGAGACTGCTTTGGCAACAAAGAATAAAAAAAGAGCTTGGGCTTCTGTTGGGGTGTGATTAGAAGGGACCATTTAGGAGTCTGAGGCTGCTGGAAACGTTTTATATCTTCATCTGTTTGACAGTAGCATGGTTACATACACAAGTCAATATTCACCGGGCTGTTGGTTTAAGATTGGTGTGCTTAAAGTTGCCAAGTATAAGTTATATATTATACCTCAATTTTCAAAAGTAAAAAAAAAAAGTGTGGATCAGCAAACAGTATGCACAGAAAGCAAGAGTCAGTCAGCTAAGCTCTGCTGTGGCCACTGCTTTTTTCTGTATAGCCCATGAGCCAAAAATGGTTTTTACATTTTTTTAATGGTTGGGAAAAATCAAAAGGTGAATAATATTGTGTGACTCATGAAATTTAGTTCCTTATGTCCATAAAGTTTAATGGAGACCCAGCCCCCGCCCGTCCCCCATTTCTGTACCTGTTGGCTAAGGCTCCTTTCCTGCTTTAAGGTCAGAGTGGAGTAGGTGGGAAACAGACTGGATGGCCTGCAAAGACTGGAATACGTATTCATCAGTTCTTTAGAGAAAAGGTTTGCTGACCCAATAGACAGCGTCAGGTTCCAGCGCGTTGGCTGCATGGGATTTGGCTGGATGTGATGTGGATGCAATAGAGGGCAGGCACGCCGAGCATGTCCAGTCCACACAGAGGAGGGAGCACGGACAGGGAGGTGTCAGAGACACAGCGCTGGGGGCAGTCAGGGGTGCAAGTGTGGATAAATACCCCAGGTGCCAACCGGGAACCCCAGTGATGATGGCACATTCAGATTCTGTTCTGTAGGCTGGTGGAAGCCACAGCAAAATTGCATAAACCAAGGTGATGTCAAACACTGTTGAGGACAGTTCGTGCTGGAAGAGTTTGCCATGAGACTTGAAGTTAGGGACAGGTTGAAGACAGAGGCTAGTGAAGGTGTATTTCATCTGCCTCACAGTTGAGGAGCTGTGGGCCAGGGCGTGGTGGCAGCCCTGTAGAATGGGTGTTACAGGACCGTGTGAAGGAACTCAGAAGATGCACCTATTAGAGGAGAAATGATGGATCCCTTGTCTCAGGACTGAGAAAATGGTGGAATCACAAAAACCTGTGACTCAGGGTTTCACTGTGAGTACGTTTCAGCTATATAGAGAAATTCATTTGCAAAGTCAAAGCCACACAGGCAATGATGGCCACTGGCCTCTTTCTGGGATGGTTCTTGGGCAGCACTCCCGCCAGCAGCAAGGCTGGCACACCGTCCCCCCAGCCTGCTCCTCTCCTTTGCCTTTTTCAACACAAGACACAACCTCATCTACCCCAATCCGTGCTGAGGTCCTGATTGCTTTAGAAGGCATATATGACCTATATATACCAACTTCCTGGTATTCTTAGTAAAAACAGCAATAAAAATTAATATCGAATTCCCAGCTAAATTCTTTTCAGGCATTATCTGATTTAATTATTTCATAAGAACATTCTCAGTTAAGCATTATTAGTAACCCTATTTTGGATGGGAGAATAATGAAGCTTAAAGAGATTAAGACATTTGCCCAAGAAAAGAGGAGCTTATGAATGTGGACTCGGAGTTTGAACCTGGACTGTCTAATCTAAACATTTAAGTCCTACAGCATTTTAGTTTTTTTTTTTTTTTTATGCACAGATATAATTACAATAGGTATCACATACTCATATGTCCACAGTGATCAGACAGGTGATTAGAAGTTAGGTTAGATGTGGGCATTAGGGGTGGTGAGGACGGTAGTGGAAGGGGGAGGCAGAATTCATGCCGGAAGTCACATATGCCAGTTACTGGCAAGTGGTGATGAGGAGACTCAGTATGGCTGGATAGTTTTGTTTTTGTTTTTCAATCCAGAGAAATCATTAATCTGGAATTTTACATGGGATTTTTCATTTAAAAATATATGCTTAGTATGGGAAAAAATAGAAAAACACAAAGAAAACCAACCTGTAGCATCTGCCTAAACATAACAAACCAAAATAGAGTGTTTTGGGGATTAAATGGTACATTAATAGCAGGTGCTTAGCAGAGCCTGACGTGTGGTAATCCTCAGGAACTGTGAGGCATGGCCGAGAGGCATTAACGTTTGAGCCTATGAGATGGTTCCAGAGCCAGCCTGCCCCATTCAAATCCTGGGTTCCTTTGTTCTTACCTATGCCAACTGGTAATGTCCATTCAGTGGTATAATAGTGTCTGTTTACTATTGTGAAGATTAGCTCATTTACAAAGCGTACTTAGAAGAGTAGCCCGAACATAAATATTTAGAAATGTTAAATGCTACATAATTATTCTATTAATATTATCATTTTTATGTATATATGTATATAGATATTTATATATACTCATATATGAAATTAATCTTGGCTTTGGCTAACTGATTTCAGAGAAGTAAAAGCACCCCTACCTGTACTGCTCTGTATCAAGAGGCTGTGAGGATTTCCAGCTCAGGCTGAGGCTCTGTGATGACATCATGCCACCCTGCTCCCCTGGCCCAGCATCCTGGGAGGAGTGAGCCAATCCCTCTGTCTTTTAGTTTCAGTTCCACCTCCATCTTCAAAGTCCAGTCAAATGACCACCTGGGATCCTCTCAGTTCCCAGAGATGCTCCACCTTTGATATTTAAATTCACGCTGTTGCTTCCCCAATACGGTTTTCTGCTTTGCATATCATTGACCTCTCTCTTAAGTTTTTCTAGAGCTGTTGGCCTCTCCTCTCATCATTTCCTACCCTGAGGAGCCCAAATGTCAACTCCGATATTGCAGGTATCATTCACTTCCTGCTCTATATTCTACAGAAGTGCCCGTACTTGTCTATGTTCAAAGAGCCTGCAAGCCTTGTTACAAGAATGTTGATTCCATAAATCCATACCCTGTAGAAATTCTACCTGGCATTATATAATGAAATTAATCATAGCAATGATAATGGCTTCACTGCAGTGTATTGATTTTCTTCCTTATCTTTATATTCTTCTATTTGTATTTTTATCCAATTCTCATAGTAGTCCTGCAAAGTAGATGCTATTATTGGGTGTTTTTAACACAGAGACTCCATGAGGTTAAGTAACGAGCCTACAATTCATAAATGCTGAAACCAGGAGTGAAAAATCTACTCTGTATTTTTCTGAAGCCCTGGCCTTACTGGGATATAGTGCTTACTATACAAATCTAGTAGTCAGTGTTCTATTTTCTAACTACTTCCCTTGTACTTAAAATATCACTGAAATGTACTCTTGAAAAAATATGCTTATGGATTTAGGGACAATTAAATAAAAAATCATTTAAAGATAATTTATTCAATCCATATTTTAGTATAGCATATTTTAGATATAGCATAGCTGGTCCACAGCAAAAGAGAAGATCAGATGTTTCAATTTTTCAATAACAAACGTACACATTCAGTAACGCAAATAACATTTCTAGGGATCAGCTGACCAGTCACACTGCTGATTAGCCTGTGAATTTAGCCTTTGCAGTAATGGAGCAGGTGCTAAACTTTCCCAGGTGGGAAGATTTCTGTGTGAATAATAGGCAATTCTGAGTTTCATTTTCTAGAACTTTATAAAGATCAATAACTTACATACTTGTCTCTGATCAGGAACAAAAATACAATATAGGATCTTGTGTGGCTGACTAGTTATAGAGCAGCAGCATGTGGTTTATGTGAACTTCACACGAAGATTTTTATACCTGAGGAAAACTGGAACCTGTTTAGCTACCTGGGTTATTTTTGAAAAGATAATTGTAATTTTTCTTATCTGGAGAAATCCGTCTGCAGTAAGTTCCACTCATGTCATGAGTCTAAATGGTGATCTCCTAAATATTTTTATGGGGAATTGATTCATAATTCTAATATTTCCTGAACACTATTTAAAATTTACATGTAATAATGACTTGCCTCTCAAATGTGATGCTCCAGTTTAATCATGTTTCACATTTAATATGATACTCTAATAAATTGTATAGGAAGATGGATGGTTAATTTGGTCCTGATGTTAATGCATGGGGAACTGATGTCTGAAGCTTTCACCTGACCTTATAGGTAGGTTGAGAATCAACCTGGACAACATGTTTGCTTTATCTCTGTATCAGAATATCCGCTTTGTTTCATGGTGACCTTGATCAGAGTTTGGACTAGACCATAAATTTTTAGAAATATGGACGCTTCCTGGAAAACAGTGAACGATGACTGATTAGCAAGCATTGAGTTTTCATCTGCTTCTTCAGACATCATCCACTGAGGCCCATGCAGAAATGAGACAGAGTTGAACAAAGAAGAGAGGTTGCTTTGTATGTGCATACATGGTTCCGATTGGGTTTCTGACCAATGAGATTAATAAGTTGAAATAACCAATGTCATTGTTTTCCTGAAAGATTTCCCTAGCACCAATTATATAAACAAAACCTTATCATACAAGAAACTGTATGAATTTTTAATGATTTTGACTGGGCTGGTAAGTTTTAATTTCACTCCAAGGCGATGATGAGTTTGTCCCTGGGCATGATTCTAAGACCAAGCCTCCTCCTTCCCCTGAAGGCTTCTCACTAAATCCTAAGAGTGCTCTGTCTGGTCATGGCTGAGGATGTCCCTTGCTACTATCATTGCCTTGGCTATAGCCCATATTTCTAGCAACTTGTGCCTCCTCAAGAAAGCAAAGCTCCTGGGATAGGAAGTAACTGACTATTCTTTGAAACAGAAAATTGACTTAAA